TTTATAAAAAAAATCAATATTTACAACATCTTTATAAAAAAGCTATATTTACAACATCTTTATAAAAAAAATCAATATTTACAACATCTTTATAAAAAAGCTATATTTACAACATCTTTATAAAAAGAAAAGCTATATTTACTATATCTACATCTTGCTGAGAAAACCAAGCTTGGTAGTAATCAACATTCACAAAAAACAATGAGTTAAAAAGCACTTTAAGCCTCAGATGAGGGTCAAAGTGCCCATGCCACAACCTTATGCAGAGTGCCATCCACCATGTGTTTGATGTCATCCTACATTACTGATTTAGCAACAGTTCACAGCAGAGGAGAGTAAATACCAGATACAGTGTACAGGGATACTGTAAAAAAAACTGTACATATGTATTTCAGAGGTTTTATAGGTTATGCAAACTCTAAGTTTTTTATTCTTCATACAAGCATCACTTGTCAGAGTCTGAGTCAGACTGACATCACCAATTCACAGATATTCTGAGTAGATATACGTTGGTAACACACGATGTTTCATTTACTAAAAGCTTGTCACATTTCACGTAGTAAACTCAGATTTATAATAAGCATTTCTCCTCCCGTGCATACTCGGTTAATGAACAAAACAAGCACAATTATCTTCTTTTATTGTGCTTATTTGTTTTGTTTAACACTGCACAAAGCTACTTGAGGGCTAATTTGGAAGTGAGAGACTGGAGAAAAACCAGTTAATCAACACCACCAACTCTTGAGAAACTCTTTACCAACAAACAGTGGAATTTAACACTGCACAAAGCTACTTGAGGGCTACCATCACTAATTTGGAAGTGATAGACTGGAGAAAAACCAGTTAATCAACACCACCAACTCTTGAGAAACTCTTTACCAACGAACAGTGGAATTTAACACTGCACAAAGCTACTTGAGGGCTACCATCACTAATTTGGAAGTGAGAGACACTGGAGAAAAACCAGTTAATCAACACCACCAACTCTTAAGAAACTCTTTACCAACGAACAGTGGAATTTACTGTCACATTATAATATCTTAATCATTGAAAGGGGCAAGCATGTTTGGTGATGGGAATCGATCATTCAACCCTCAGATTGAGTGTCCTAACTAGCCAGGACATTATGTGGAATCACTTGTACTCCGTGATGTGATAATATGAACTTTAATTCACATATTTATACTATTATTTCACTACAAACAAAACTTCCTAAAATACAGTTTCAGTGTTTCACCTGAGCAGTAGCATCTTGCATGGCAACCCTATCGGGCCGCAACCTTAGGTAGCTCACACCTCTTTCAATTTCCTGGCTTCCTGGTTCATCAAGATGCGAGTAAACAACCTTCTCAGACAGAGTAAGTGGTCTCTTGAGCCTATACATAATTAATGAAAAAGATAATTACGTACATTTACAATTTAAAAATAGTTCCTAAAACCTGTGTACTCATGAGAGAAAGTAGTTCCTAAAACCAGTGTACTCATTAGAGAAAATAGTTCCTAAATCTTTATCAAATCACAAATTTAGTGTGTGTACTTGTTTAGTACACTGGACAGTTGCTTTTACTGACCAGTAAGCCATTTTCTCTCCAAGCTGTATTGGTTAAGATTGTATTCAGACTACTTAAGCCTAATGTACTTGTTTAACACGTAACATGATATTTACCCACAACACCTAGAACTATACAAACAATTGGTCATTCAAAACTTGAGATGTCCTCTGACCTACCACTGAAGGACAATGCTGTCTAAATTATTCCATGATGTACAGTATTACAGCAGTACTTCCCATAAGCAGACCAAATGTTTCTTCAAGAAAATGACAAAGGAACAGATGCAGCAAGAATGAATTCAACTTAATGACTTTCTTGATCTTGTGTTATGTGAAAACTTAGTAATTCCAAACTATACTGGATTAATAAAAGTAAAGAACAAAGGGAATTCTTATACATCATAATCTGCTTTATCGTAGAACAAAATAATAAAGAGTATTTATGAACAAGTTACAAATTACAGTATTTTGTTCATTAGTCCAATATCAAAAACTAAAGCTTTACACCACAGTAATTAAAAAACTTCACATAATGTCTGGATGAATTAATTTAATATTAGAAAGACATTAAATGCAGAAAATAAATAAATATATTCCCAATTACAAAAACTATAAAATAATTAAAACTAAAACTAATTTAATATATAAAGTACATCACAAGCTTTTGAAATTTAGTTTTTGATTAGGTACTTGTCAGATAACTAGGCTTTTTTTTCTGTAGATTTAGTAAGATGGAATTAGTGCATCTTTCATGGATGACATTAATAATCATGTTCAAATATATCCAATTTTTAGGTGGTTTGTTTAACATCGTATTGATAACTTTGTTGCAGTAGAAAAATCAAAACATTTCATGAGGTTTAGTTAGTATTTAATTATGTTCATTACTTATCTAGTAATTAGCTATTTAATTTCTCTCTGAGCAAGACTTTAATGATTCTATCAGAAGCTGTTACCTTTATAAGTTAAAAATCAGGAATTACTGTAGCTATTAAATATATAAAACCTAAGGAACAGAAACTCACCTGCTTTTAACAATGTCTAGGTTTCTGGATAGTTTTTCATATGGAATGAAACTTTCTTTATCAAATTTACTCATAGCAACCTAAAAAAAGTAAACTGTTTGTATTATGTGGTCGACACTTATTGTTCGAATACAGTAATATCAGACAATGTGATCTTTATAATTTATTACATAATCAGAACAGAAAAATCTTGAAACAATTCAAACACAAATTATTTCAGGAATATGCAACTTCCCCAGATAATGTTAAAATGTACCTGCCAGCCACACCACACGATGTAAACGTAAAGTTTAAAAATACTAGTATTTCCTTAGCAAAACAAGTTTCTAGTTATTCGTATAAAAAGGGTGTAAATAGAGTAGCAGTAGAATATAAATCGAACGATAGTTTTATTCAGCTTTTAAAAGTTTAATTTAATGAATACAAAATCTTTTAAAACATTTAACTGAACAAAACTTAATTAAACTTTAGACAAAGATTGCATGCATTCTCCTTGATTACAGATAAATTCATAGATGGCTTGTGGGCTGGAGTCAATTATATTTAGAGAACTCCTAGTGGACCTGACAACACCAGATTTGGAGCCAGATGTGGATCACAGGTTGTACATTGGACAGATTGGGAACTGGATGCAGCCTACAGACAGTATATTGGACAGGTCAAGGACTGGATGCAGCCCACAGACCGTATATTGGACAGGTCAAGGACTGGATGCAGCCCACAGACCATATATTGGACAGGTCAAGGACTGGATGCAGCCCACAGACCATATATTGGACAGGTCAAGGACTGGATGCAGCCCATAGACCGTATATTGGACAGGTCGAGGACTGGATACAGACCATATATTGGACAGGTCAAGGACCGAATGCAGCCCGCAGACCATATATTGGACAGGTCAAGGACTGGATGCAGTATATTAGACATGCCTGAATTATTTAATTAACATCAAGTTTCAGCTCAAATTTGGTGATTATTGGTTCCGCATTTCACCAGTTGTAAACTGACATAATACATAAGGTCCTGAGGTGAGACATAGAAGGTCAAATCCAAATGCCAACTTTAAGTCACTCACCAGGGAGCTCTAAGTGTTAATGCCAAGTTTTGTGACAATCTGTCCAATGGTTTCCAACTTATAAACAGTCAAACACACACATTTTTATCAACTAATGGTTCAGATTAACATACCAGTAAAACATGTCAACATATAACTTTTAAATTTACAAATACATCTGACAAACTTATGCACTTGTGTTTTAGGGACAGAGGCCTCGAACCTCTACCACATTTGCTATTAGAAATCCAATGAACCAATTCAGGGAGATTGCAGCATGCATGGAACAACATAAAAGCCCAACACAAGTTTCAACACACTGAGAAATAAATGTTAGTATAATTTACTAAAACACTGGAACTCAGTGCTTGAAAACTCATGGCCTTCACTCCTTGAGTTGAAGGAAAAAAACAAGAAACAAATGGGCAAATTGTTATCGAATACAAGTTTTCCTAACAGACGCAGTGCTTTCCCACAGTGAATAATAAAACATAATTGAAAAAGTATAAACTTTCTATTATTTATACAGTATATATACACAGTACATACACATTTGTGTGT